AAATACATTTATGTACATGACACAATAAGCTTGTATGATGGATCTGACTGGCGCCATAAGCACCAATATAATTTTAAATCGATATAAAAACTCGTTGCTTGTTGTACAAGTGCCAGTGTCCGCAAGAATTTGATAGGTTTACTCAATTCAATCAGCAAAAACTTAATATCTCTCTTTCAAAAAGTGTTACTTCAAACTTATGAGCATCTTTAATGCTCTTCGGATTTGAAATTTCTCCATCACTTCCTCGGTCTAACACTGACGAAACGCGAGGCGGCCATTTTGAAATTTAGCACTCCTGCTAAAATCAACCCTCGCGAGGTGACCATCGCGAGATATGACGCATCCTCGACCAATCACTGACGCATGCATCTTTATAATCACCGGACCAATTATACTAATGAAAGTTATGAATGATATTGAAAGAAATCCAACCAAAATGCACTTGTGGAAATGTTTCCTGATGTTTATGGATTACTACTCGTACAATCTTGTCATATTTTTAAACAAAGGAATGATTAAATTGTTATGGGAAATCAAATCATATCTATTTTTGCCTGAAAGCGTGCGATATAAATAAATATTTGGCTAACACAGGGAGTAATGCTTTCGGAAGCTTTCCCGAGCCTTAATAGATAATTGTCATTTGTATAGATTAACTCGGTTGTAAATTCTGCATTCATCATACTATAGGATTACGAACATGAAAATTTTATAGAATTCCAGCTATTTCTACCCTTTCGACTTTTCCTTCCTACCATAGTGCTTTTAGTTATTGGCCCTTTCACTTTCACGCGACAGGTAATTAATCCTTACAATATCAATATATCGCCAAAAAGGTAGGTTACATAACCAATAGCCTCAGTTTGGCACGAAAATATGCCCGGATATTTATCCGTAGACATTATCTATCTGAATGCGAACAGTTTTTTCCGAGGGCTAACAAAGCTCGAGGAAAACTGTGAACTTCGAGGAACAGCAGATAATGTCTAAGGACAAATACATAGCATATTTTCACGTCAAATTGAGGCTACTGTGTTAATTACTCTTCAAATATTTTCAAACGCTTGGGAATAATGTTTACGAACAGCCTACCTTTTACGGCTTGGGATGTTCACTTTTCGGTGTTCTCTGATACGATTTTATCAATACAAAAAAAAAAAAAAAAAAAAAAAAAAAGCTTGGGGAAAATGTTTACGAACAGCCTACCGTTTATGGCGTGGGGTGTTCACTTTTCGTTGTTCACTTTTCGGTGTTCTCTAATACGATTTTATCGATACAAAAAAACAAACCACGGACAACACTTCCTAATCTTAAATCAAATTTTAAACGCAAAGTTTTACGTGTTGGACATAAGGTTTGAAAATTAGGGAATATCACCGGGGTATATTCTCGGACATCCCCCCGTTTTAGTTGGGGGATATTTGGTCACGCGATGCGTTTTTACCAATCGCGCTCCAGAAAAATATTTGTTGGATTATAGTAGAATTATATAAAACAGCGGATATTCTTTTGGGATCCTTTGATATAATGACCAATTATTCGAGCCCAAATTAAAAATAAAATATGTCGCAGACACGAGGAAGAATTGATTGGAATGAAAGCAAAATCTTTAATCTTTTTTAAGACTATGTGTCAAGGAAAGGCAAGAATTCTCTTCAAGTTTGAAAAAGCTGACTGCAAAAGAAAGTGTTTTTATTAAAAAAAAAAAAAAACACGTTACATGCCTTAAAGTAGGACGTGTTTAATTTTCCGGTTTCAAGTTTTTAATATTCTCTACCTACATTTGTCAGGTTCATGTTTCCGGTTCTCGAACACGGGTAATAAATAGCCACTCTGCTTGCAAAAGTGTCGAAATTAAGCTCGGTGTAATTTAATGGGATGTTTATTTAAGAATGTCTGATATGGATAGCTAGTCCGGTACTTTTCAGAAAAATAGTTTAAAACTCTGATGGCTTAACCTACAAATACTTATCCAAAGTCCGCTTCCGCAGGTTAGTTATTTATTTTCCCAGTTCAGCTGCCATAGGCTAATGAACTAATCTTTTGTTTTAATGTGGGAATCATAAGGAACATTATATATAATGAAGTTTTTCGACTAGTTAATTCATTTTCTTTTATCATCGCTTAACCAAGGACTGCCAAGCTCTCCTGGCTGGAAACTTATCTTGCATAAACACAAACAACAGAATCTCAAGTTAGCTTGCTGTGATTGCAAGTACTCTCTTAGTCTTCGATCGAGGTAGGTTATTCAAAGTTTACCCCCAGCTCTTTTGAGTCAGGAATTTTTCCACGGAAATCAAATAACTGGCCATTCAAAACAACAGTCATAAAAAAGGTTCTTATATCCTTGTAGAACTAATTTGTGCGGCGGTGACCTTCGACTCAGTGTTTACCTCCATGTCAAGTAGTCTGTTCTATCAAGGGAATGATGTATAAGTGTAAAGTTTTCATTCCACGTAAATTATCATGCAAGAATAATGCCATCTTTGAATACACGTGGCGAAGAAACAAATAAACAGCGATTTTAATACTCAGTAAGACTGAAGAAATGATAATAATATTTTTCGATAGTTGCTTCTTTAGGTAATATTTTCTTAACCAAAACTTACGTTACTTGCATGCGTCTCTAATCATAGCTTGCGAAGCTTTTTGAAAATATTGAGGAAAAATGAAAAAGGGAAAAAAGCTATGGGTTTCAAAAACAGGAAAGGATTTGTGCTTGATAAACAAAAAATACTTCATGATCAAAATCGGAAGTAAAAAAATCAGTAGTGCAGTCGAATAAAACTTCACGACGGTGGATTATTAGCGAAACACACAAGCATAATTTTAGCAAATGGAAGCTTTACGGCCTTTAGAGTTTCATGGCGTGTACTTTGATATTAGCTTTTTGTAGCATGGTATTTATATGCATTATCAGCTTATCGAAAGAGACGCGGGCTGAGTCACGCACCACTTAGCAATTATGCTGAGTAATTAGGTTGTTAAAGCGAAACGCTTAGCAGGTGTCTCCAAGTTTAATTTGGGTACTCAGCCATGAATTTTTAAATGAACTCTACAAAAAGCTGAAGAAAAAAAGAAAAAAAAACGCTTGATAATTCATCAAACCGAAAAGGGTATGTCATTGCCAAGTACGTTTCTATTCATTTAAATGTGATTTAAACATGTTAAAGGGTGTACTTTAAATTTCAGCAGAAACGTAATGGCTATGAACAACACCAACAGAACGAGCAGTGAGGATCAGTGGATGCCGGTTCCCGCATCGCGTTGCCTCCCATGGCTCGTTTTCTGCATGGCTGAATACCTGGTCATTGTCAGCCTCAATATTATCATCATGCTTGTGTTTGTGAAGCAGCGCCAGCTACAAAGGAGGAGTACATACTTGATCATCAATCTAACTATAGTCGACATGCTGGTTGGGTCTGTGGGGCCTTTATTCATTGTAAGGACAGGGAGCAGCAGATGTGATTTATGGAAATACAATTGGCCTGATGTTGATTGGATAAACATACTAACAATTCATTTGGGGGTCGTACTTCCCCTCCTCTCTTTTTTTAATCTCGCTGTTATTTCATTAGAACGTGCCCACGCAACATTCCGTCCTTTAAAGCATCGTTACATTAGGAAATGGGTTTATGGAGTGCTAATAACAGCCACTTGGTTGGTGCCCTTAGCCATGCACGGGGTAGGAATAGCACTTCAGCGCCGTTTCCCCCGCTTTAATCGAAATCCGGTCCAGTTTTCTTATTATTTTTTCCTTGTTTTCGTAATATGCGTTAGCTATATTGCCATATATATCAAGGTTCGTCGTGCTCTCCATCCTCAACATCATGGTGCAACCGGTCAGAGGGACAGAAAACTAACAACGACATTGTGTCTCGTCTCCTTGGTATCGTTATTTACAGTACTGCCGATATTGGTAGCTCACGGTGTCGCCAGTTTCAACATGGGCATGTATCGTAGCTTTTATCGCCAATCATCATTTGATATTGATATGATAAAAAATACATTTTTCATGGGCAATTCTCTGATAAATCCTATAATATATACCATGAGGATGCCAGGATTAAGAGCAGGTATATTGCATATAATATGCCGCAGGGCTTCAAACCCAGTACGCCCGTTGGAATACCGACTTCGAGGTCTTTGAATCGCTCATTCTAGGAGTATAACAGAATTTAAGAGAAGAAAGCTAGGGTTATTGTTGTCGATTCTTTTCAACGATATTTAATTGTATAGTATAAATTGACAGCGTCGAGAGAGAATAAATGTCCTTCATGCCCTTGAAAGAAGTCGGTTAAGGTCTGCCTAATAAGAGAGGTTGCAAATGGCTTTGACGTAATTAAATAGGGCCAGCAAAAACACTTGTCATCGTTAATGTCATAAAATTGGTTTCCACTGTCACGAAAAGAAAAAATGAAAGTGAAAACAATTGAATGGATGAATGAATGAAATGGCAGTTTCATGGCAAATTACTAAGAAAGTCACGGCCGTTAGCCTCTCGGAATTCTTATTAGAGGTGTGCCACCTGGTCCTCTGAATCCTGCCCCTTTATTGTTTCCTACCCGTACATGAAAGAAAAATGACTTTCACAAGCTCCTGTAGTTCTTTTGAAAAAACTTCCCTTGAAATTATTAAAGCAAAGAGATAATTGAACCATTGACTGAGCTGCAGACAACACGTCAACATTTTGTCGGATTTGTGTATACGTGGATAGAGGCTGGCCTTGTAAAGATGAGCTCTTAGTACAGTGTTTTTGCTTAATAGTAATGGTGAGATTGACACAGGATCAAAAAATAATTGAAGACTGAAATGAAAGCAGTGAAACACCCTTTTCATCCATATTATTCTTTGTGCTGATACAGAGTCAGTTTTGCCTTTATTAAACAACTCTGAAAACTGATCGCAAAACACATTGAAAATTTTTCGTACATGAAAAGCATAGAACGTCTTTAAAAGAAAGGTTCCATTATACTGAGACTTCCCTCAAACTTCTCATTTCTCAGTATTTCTGTTAATGCATCATCATCGGACAAGTCACAAGGGAACTCACATGTTGCAAACTCATCATCAAAAATCTCTTCTCGGCTGGTACTCAGGTCGTTTAATGTGCGCACACGCCGCAATTTCCCAGGTTTCCACGTGTCGGCGACTTTTCCCAAGTCTTTGGCTGAGTTATTCAAATTGTTCCAGAAAACGATGGCTTTCCTTTCCATATCAAGTGTTTTACTATTAAAAAAATCGTCGTTATTGAGGACACGTATCTATATATGCAGTAAACCTAGGATTTTACTAATAAAAAATTTTTTGTACCTGGGATCGATACTTTTACACGAAGATATGTATCGAAGTTTTCTGGAAACTAAGAGTACAGAGTTGTCTACTCGAAAACAATCGTTTCTACTAATAGACGCAGTAAAACTGCATAACACAAATTAATGACACTTAATAAAAAAGCTCTCCATACTCACATCATATCAGACATCGATTGCTGACTTTTTAATAAAGCTCGCTTAAGTCTGCTCTCAATCTGTTCTACTTGAGCCAACAGGTAGCTTCGGGTGTTTTTCATTATCTCCTGTTTCTCTTCTTCAACTCTTTGACGTTCCTTGCACAACTCAAGGACTCTTCTGTGTAAAGCGAATAACAGAAACTTTTGTTCTGAGTAAATCTTAAGCTTTTAAGTTCCAATAAAAAATAAAAATGTGTTATAGTGGGTTGTAATTTCCTTTCGAAGTGGACATTACTAGCAGAGGCGTATCCACCTTTTCAACGTGTCGTAGGCACTATTTTCAGAGATTTAGAAGCGTGCTAACCTAGTGCTTTCATGTTACGAGAATTTTTCCTGTTGCTCGAAAATATGCTGTAAGGAAAGTCAAATTTTTGTTCCAACTTTGCAAGAGTCATATCGTAAAAGTTAAGCGGGCGGAAAAAACCTTCACGCCCGGGCCTACGGGGCAGTAGGCTGGCTACGCCCCTGTGTAGATTGCGATAACCGATAAAACACTTCAAAATAATTAAGTCTTATTATAACACCAGTTGAATCATAATTCATACCTTTTGGTTTGAATTTGTGCTTGGAGTATGCTGACTGTTTCTTGCATATTGCTGAGTTCTTTTGTAACGTTTCGTCTGTGAAGAGGAAAAAAATTTCCATTATCATGAGACAAGAACGAAGGTTGAAAGACAATAAGCGGATAGTCCTTTGTTACGGTTCTTGCCTGGATTTCTGTCCTTTAGCGGATCCAAAGCAGTTAAAACGTTTCAAGCTTCCAAAAATACCCATTGTCGTAAATGCTTGAGTAAAATTTCGATAGAAAATTCGACGCAAAATTAACACAGTGTCCTCAAATGAAGTTTTTTGCAACTGGAGCAAGTATTGTGATATCATAAACACAACATGAGCGCGCTCGATAACTGCGCGCGCTCAAATCTATTCACAGGTATCGAGCCTTCATTTCACTGCGCTTCCTATACTGCTCGGGAGAATGGCGTCGCAATGGAAAAGAATCCAAGACAAGCTCGAAAATAGAAATGAAAGAGCGCTAAAATTTTTATTTGATGACAAATCCTCCGCGTTCGACAAGCTGTTGAAGGTTGGAAGGAGTCTAGCAAGCAGGAGAAAACAAGATGACTGTACTGATCTCTGTTTATATAGCGCTAAACAAGTTAGCACCAAAATACATCAAAGAATTGCTGCAGGAAAGAGACAGCTTCAAAGAATCCTTGGCAATCATTAATGTCAGTGTATTTAGTTCATTAATCCCATAAACTTCCATTACAAGTATACTACTGGCCCCGGTTGTTCGAAGCATGGAGAAAGCTATCGAATGGATAAATCTCTATCCGGTGGATAGCGCAGTACGTTTTGTTAACAGTTATCCGCTGGATAGTGATTTATCCGTTGGACTTTATGCAACTCTCGACCCTGGTGTTAACAGCTCAACTTATCCAGCTGGAATCAGCGCACATCACAATGACGACCAGCGGTTTACCTCAAGAAATAAAGTATAAGCGCGGCTTTGATTGGTTGCGGTAATGTGACGTCATGGCGTAGGATTTGATTCCCGCCATTTTGAGTCTTCGTGTGTTCGAACATTTGTGCTACTTTCCTCCATTAGGAAAGCATGGCAGCATCAAAAATTTCTCTCGACAAAGACGCCTTTTTTCGGCGAATCAAAAGGATTTACGACGTCTGGAAGGTAAAAATTTTGACGTGTTTTGGGGTCATTGAAGGACAAGTTTGACTTAGCGATGGGACTTAGATTTTGCACGTATGACAAATATTTAATAAGCATATGATGTTAATTTCAGAAGGAAGACAGCACGGAAGATAATGGGGCTGCTTTTCCAAGTGTCGACACAGTGGTGATTGCAGTCGGGCAGGACGAAGACGTCATTTACAGTAAATCGACAGCAATACAGGTACAAAATGTTTTTACAGTGTCGGTTATCGGCGGTCACATGGCCTCAATTGTGCTGTGGATTATTTAAATTTCTGATGTACATGAGTGCATTATCTGGAGCGAAATGAAACGGATTTGATCGATTTATAACACTGTCAAAATGCATTCCATTCCTACGATACCTATATCAAGTCGTTGTGATCATTGTTTACATGTAACTTGTGCTAATTCTACTAAAAACATGTACTAAATATTATTAATACCAATAAATATTAATCATTAATTAAATAATTTTCAGAATCACGTAGTTACATGAGTAATTTGTAATTTAAGCTGTTATGGGTTCAATCACTCTTCCCATATCAGCATGTACCCTTACTTTTGGTATCTTAACAAATCTTTCCCAGTAAATAACTCAGATGTGGAAGTTGACATGAAACTGAAATTCTCTGTTGCCTTGAAAAAATTGTTGTCCTTTATAATCCACAATGGAACTGAGAACCGTGATAAAACACTAATTGCTTCCCTTTATTGATTAAAGAATGCCTTGTGAGATTTGAATTGTACTCTTTTTTTATTATTACAATGGAATGGAAACTAGGGCACTGTATATTGGCTTTTTGAAAATTTGTGGTTAATCAAATTAAGAATGAATGCTTCTCTTCCTCTTTCTGCAAATGAACAGAACAGGAAAACATTTCTGTGGTTGGTCTCTGTGTCACAACCTTCAGCATAACCCTTTAACTCCCGGAATGCTGAACATGTAACTTCTCCCTATAATATCCATAAATTATCCAATAAACAGGTAATGAGAATATTTAAAATTTTCAGGTAGAAGTTGTAATCTGATATCAAATTCTTAATACTAATGCACATAGAAACATGTAGCTGCTAAAGGGCAGACTTGACAATCAGATCTTGGGAGCTAAAGATTTAATAATTTCTCGTTTGCCCCTTCTACACTGTTTATAAGTACATAGTGCCAGGTACTGGCAAAATTCCCATCCACTGGTTACTTTCTCTGAAATTAACAGTGTTAGAATAACAATTAAAACTTCCATTAGCTTTTCACTGCGGAATTTTTGTGCCATCTGCCACTGAAATGTTTGATTGTGTTGTACCTGTGAAGAGGACTGAGATTGAATTGAATCATGCTTGTTAAGTTTTTGGTGGTTTTTGTTTCTTCAGCAATGGTTGTTTGGTTATGAACTGGCTGATACTGTAACAGTGCTGTGTGAGGGATCAGTTCACTTTCTTGCCAGTAAAAAGAAATATGATTTTCTGAAACCATTACAAGATATGCAAGTGAAATCCAACACCTCACCATCGATACAACTTCACTTGAGAAACAAGGTAGGAAGGATTTTTGCAAATGCCATTTTCTATATTTAGTTTTATTCTAACCTTAGCTTGACTTTTATTAACATTAAATGGTGATCAGATAATGTTTTGGAAAAAGTTTGAAGTAAAGGAAAGTAGCATTTAAACTGGAGATAAAAGTAAACCGCATATAGAAATTATATATCATGTTATTTTCTATGTAGTATTATCAATGCCCCAAGCTGCCACTGTCTTGGTAACCATAGCACCTAGAATAGAATAGAATAAACTTTGGCAACTGAATTAACAACATAAGTTGCCAAATTTGGTAGCCTTTGCCATGTATTTAGTAGGTATATGTATGTCTTTACCTCCCATATTATAATAAGCATGGGCCAGCAAAGATTTCCCTCTCCTACCTTGTCCACTTCTGGGCCAGTCTTTTGAGTGTGCTGTAGGTGTGGCCCCAATTCTTCATCTCATCCTGAACATCTTGCTGCCAGGTGCTCTTTGGGTGTTTTTTTTTTTTCATTTGCACTAGAGACTCCAGCAGTCATGTAGCAAGTCAGAACATTTAACCTAGTTTTATGGTGTAAAGTCTCCAAAAATGCATATCAGCCCCACTGCATACTCTTAAGTCAAGTGGTATAGTCAGTGGTTTAGTAAGTTGTGATGCTGCCCAATCTTTTTTTCTGCCAACCCCTTTTGATTTGAGGTTGCCAAACAGTAACTCTGAAAAAGTTGAGCTTGGAATGCAGCTTATTGAAGATAACCCTTTTCACCCTAAAATCATTTTCCATGTTCTCCCTTCTGTTCTCTTTACATTTCCTGTGGTACTGGAAAGGAGAATTCATTGTACAATCAAGATCCTCTTTTGTTGGTGATTGTTTCCTTTATTCTCATAACCTTAATTGGTTGATTCAGGGGTGATATCGTAAAGAGAAATTAAGTGCTGGTCACTCAGGGGTTTAAGGGTTACAGTTGTTAATGTAGACCTGCTTTCTACAGACTGACCAAGACAAGGAGAATTTCCAAAAACTGATTAACTCTATGAGAGAAAGTAAATCTGTAAGTATGAGACTTGTGAGCTTAAGGTTATTTACTTAATTTAACCACAATGAGACTAGTATAATGTTGAAATGATTTATAGTGCATTTGCTAATAAAGAAATACATTTGTGTTTCTATCCCCTTTGAGAGTGCATGTCTTTGATTTTAATTCTTGATGAAGCAAGCTGGTAATGCAAATGTATTTGTAATCTTTACTTGACTTTATGCTCTCTTTTACAGGGAAAGACTGTGGGTGTTTTTCAGAAAGATAATTTTCAGGGACAATTTGTTGATGAGTGGAAAAATGCATTTGAAAAGGAGTCCTTTGAAAAGGTCTGAAGAATTTACAACCTTCAAATTTATTAACTACTGAGAGTTTTTATCATTGGTAACATTTGTACCAACACAATTTATTAATATGCTTTAAACTTTAGTTAAAAGTTGACAGTTTGTTATATGCTAGTGACAGTAATGCATGGATTGTTTTTCCTTTTCATATTTTGTGTGACCATTTTACAAGCTGATCACCATTCTAGTTTTTGTTATCTTTCTTTGTTGTTAAATACAACAGTTTGTACATATTTGTGTGTTGATCGTGTGAGTAGTCGTGGCTGAGTGCTGATGTGATGTTTTGCAGGTTGACATTAGCAGTGCAGTGGCGTATGTGATGTCAGTCAGAGAGGACCAAGAGCTCACTCATGTCAAGGTATAAGCAGGGATTTATCTTGTAACCCTAATGTCACTGAACTAGGGCTTTCTTTAACCAGAGGTGATCAAAGAAGAATTCTGTTTCAATGAATTTTAATGGTGGCGAGAAGAACCAAAAACATCTGCAATGAGATATTGTTTGATTTGATACTAATTCTTGGTGTTATTAGGCACAATATCGTGGAAGATTTATTTTAAGATCTCAGATGTAAAAGGGTAGATTTGCAAGTGATAGTTGTAAATGAAATTGAGGCAGTGCTGCATTTCGCATTCTTCAAACTTTCTTTATTACTGTCTTCTCAACTGCCTCTTTTTTTTTTTAAGCTGTAATGGCTAACAAAAGCCTGCAAAGTAAACCAAAAGAAAATTGTTATTTCTCCTCTCAATATCATCTCTGAATCAACCTTTAACCTTTAACACCCAAGATCTGACTGTTAATTCTACCATCTAGCTGCTACACATTTCCTTGAAATTACAGTAGTTATGAGAATATGCTGTTAGATTAAAATAATAACTTCCACATGATAAGTTTGAGTATTCTCGTTACCTGTTTGCTGGATAATGTATGGATATTATAAGAAGAAGTTACATGTTAATCACTTCTGGGAGTTAAGGGGTCAAGGTAAAGAGAATATAGGAAATGATCTTCATCTTGAGAATCTTTTGATTGTAAAACAAATTTTCCTTATTATAGGAAATGTTAAGAGCCCAGTATAGAGAATGTTCATACGTGTGGAAATGGTTAACAACCAGTTTCCTGTTCAGTCATTTGTGTTTTACAGTAGAGGCAGTAGTGCCATCTAAGACATTTTTTTTTCCTTCTGTAGAAAGCTGCACAAGTTTCCTCAGATATTTTTGTCAAATACTTCAAGAAACAAGTCATGGAAATTGTAGATGATGAAAAGGTGGAACTATGAGCAAAGTCAATTTTTTTAAAATCTACAGTAGTTGGGTTGTAATTTTTTTTAACAACTCCAAATCAGGAAAGTATTGTTGAGTGGCAGAAACTAATGACTTTTTAGAATGTGGTCAATTATTTATGAGATTATCACATGCAAAGTTGGTTCATGTGATCAGACATTAAAATGACATGCACATATTGGGTTAGCTGTTTGAAAACTTTCCCAGAGTCATCCATTTTTGTTTCAATATCACAACTTTATGCCTTGATCAATGTTAAAATTTCCCGCCTTTGGGGCAAAAATTGTGTTCAAATTCCTACCCAATTTTTCTTTTGCAAAGGCCAAATCTGCGACTGTTACTTAAGCATTAAAACCTAAACCTTGTACACCTTATTTTCTAGTCGTTTGAATGCAAAAGTGAATTATGTATGTTTAAGCACCTCTTTATTGAAAGAGAAAACACTTGTATCTCACTGGAATGGCTGGAAAGACTTGGCATCTCTGGTTCAAATACCCCACCTGCACGAGGCAAGTTTCAAATTGCCTATCAGGTGTGATATCTTGGAGTTCCATGTTATGATTTTCAAAAAAAAAATATTAATTTTTCATGTTATTATCTATTCTGCAGAGGGTGAAACATTCAAAAATTGCAGATGGAATAGAAGGAGCTTTGGAATCAAAAAAATTTTTGCAACCTGGAATGGATTCTGAACAAGTGAGGATCACTTTCTATTTTCATTGTGATTGATCCAGTTAAATGATATCAGCTGCAGAGTTGTTCCTCCAGAGTTCTTGATTAAATGCAATCAACAAAATTTATTGTTCCATCAAGCAGAAGCATTAGTGAAAATATATGCTTTTTCGTGAAAGTCACAGTGGTATTGGTTGAGCTGTGGAAGTCTGGATCAAATTCCAAGGTTCATATTCTAGCCAGGGTCATTGTTCTGTGTTCTTTGGCAAGATTCTCTACTCTCATGCTGTTAATCTCCACCCAGGAGTATAAAAGAGTGTAAGAAAACTGTCAGGAAACTGGACAAAGTGCAAAAGAGACAAGAAAAAGAGACAAGATATGACAGAATAGCATTCCATCCAGGGAAAGAAGCAATGCTCTTGGTCCCCTCTGGAAACTGGAAAATGTTTCGTGTACATCTATTAATTTCTGTTCATTCCTCTTTAAAGGTTGAGATGTGTTACTCTCCCATTATTCAGAGTGGGGGAAAATTCACACTTAAGTTCAGTACAGTAAGGTAAGAATATCTTGAAGGAAGTTGATAACCCAGACTGTGATTGTCAGCCTCATCTATATGTACAAATGAAGCAGAGCGAATTGGCTGAAATAACAAGGCACTTTCACCTCAAACATTTCATCACATTGATGTACCCAATGCATTAACTTAGCTTAAACCTGACCTAAATTACAACTGCAGTGGCATCATTAAATATTGACTAATGACTCAATTTGACAATCTTGTTTAAACATTTTGTAGTAATGATGAAAAGCTTCACTATGGTACAATAATCTGCTCCCTTGGTGTTCGATACAAGTTCTACTGTTCCAATATTGTTCGTACAATGTTATATGAGCCATCGCAGGTGAGATTTTTTCCCCTACAGTTAAGTTAGAGCTGATTTTTAATCTTCAATCTGGGATTTTCTTGTAAATTTTCCCGGAAACTTGAAGAAAGGCTGTGGGTATCTGCAATGGACTTGCTACACCAATGTAAATGAAGTGGTAATTGCTCCAAGTTGAGTCACTTTACAGAAACAAAAATTTATTCCATCTCAATGCTTAAATGCCAAGTGTTTTTACAGTGAGGCCTTTGTACTCATGAAATACTGTGTTGTTGTCTAGGAGCAACAAGAAAACTATGATCTGCTTCTGACAACTGTGGATGTTATTCTGGACAAGTTGAGACATGGTATGTTGAATTATTTAGTATTAATTATTAATAAAAAATTGCTGATTATAGCCAAATTTCAAATTGCAAATTTTCATGGACAATGTAATGTTTACTCTTAGGAGTGAAACTTTGTGATGTTTACAATGCTGCCCTTGAACATGTTACAGAAAAGAAACCTGATTTTCAGGCAAATTTTGTGAAAAATGTTGGGTAAGTGATTGAGTAAATAAATGGCATTTTACATTTACATGTAGTTTATTTTCAGTATACATTAGCTAACATTGCAGGGCGTGAAATTGCGCCTAATGCGCCAATGCGACTAAATTTTTCACTTTGGTGACCAAATCCTGAAAGTTAGTCGCCAAATTGGTGACTAAAACGTTTCATCATAACCTTACCAGGAGATATAGTGAATTAAAAAGATTTGCAAAGATAAATCTGCAGCAAACTTCTTCGTTAAGTTTGTTTCCAAAACGTAGCACATGCATCTTGATTGATAACTAGACGCCATCTTGGATTTAGATGAGCCTGAACGTTGTATATCATCCATCCTAGTGTCCACTTTGTAGCACGTTAAAGATCTTTTCCCTAACTTAATTTTGGAGGGTCTATCTAGAATGCTGACAGCGTAAAGAAAGATTTTGTTTGTCTTTGAAAATGGCGACCAACTTTTTTTGAATTGGTTACCACTTTGAAGAATTTAGGAGCCAAGTGGCTATCAGAAAAAAAAGTTAATTTCACGCCCTGCATTGGGACTTTTATTAGTTCCCATCCAGGGTATTGTTTTACCAGCAAACAGGTAACGAGAATACTTGATTCATCAGAGTCATCTTGATCCAATACCAAATTCTTGTAACTAGTTTACAAGGAAATATATAGCAGCTAGAGAAGAGAATTAACTTTCAGATCTTGGGAGTTAAAGGGTTAAAAGTGTGAAAGAACCTAATTGTTGTTAGATTATGCTTTTTGTTTTGTTTTGTTTTTTAACCAGATTTAATTTATCATCTGTTTATAAGTAACAAATATTTGTTCAAAGCTTGTAATCTGTAGTTTTCTCGGACTGTTTTCAGGTTTGGGATGGGAATTGAATTTAGGGAAGGTTCTTTACTCATAACTTCTAAAAACAATCATGTGGCAAAGAAAGGTAAATTTATTTTTCCTTTTATTTAGTATCATAATCCAAGCAAAAGGAAAGTAAGAATGAAACTGCATTGGTTGAGATATAGAAACCTACAAAAATAGTTATCATCAGTGTTACTGAGTGTACATGTACATCTGTACATAAAGTGTTACCAAGGTAACTGGCTCCCTCTATATTTGTTGTAAAACACAAAGTAAGGATAACATGGTGTACACAAAAATGTATTATATATGATCAACCTGGAATTTACAAATTGATTTGGATAATTGTCTTGCTTTAGGGATGGTTTTCAATATAAATGCAGGTTTCTCAGGCCTGGTTAATGATAATGCAGAGGACAGTGAGGGTAAAAACTATGCCCTTTTTATTGGAGATACTGTGTTAGTTAATGAGGTATGTGTGTACAGAACTCAATTTTTGGCCAGGAGTGGTTAGATACATGTATATGTAAAACAGAAAAACCAATAAAACAAGCAGTGGTTGTGAGTCATTTGTATCCTCCTAATCTCATATGCAAGGTTTGTGCATCCTCCTCAGTAATAAAAGTGCTCCAAGCCGTGGCAAGTGGACACAATTTGGCAACTTTAATTGATACGGAAGCCCTCATTTTGATCGCATATCCATTTACTTGGCAGTCATGTGCCATACCACATGTTTTCTATTATTTATTATTATCATTAGCAGTAGTATTATCATCATTAGTAAGTGCATAATTACGGTGTGTTTATACCTGTGAGGTGTTACAGTGTCCATAAGCTATTTGACTTTTTCAAAGGCATGCAGTTTGTTTATAACCTGTTTGTTATATTCCCCACATTTCCTGTACTTTTTTGTGTCTGTTAACATTTTACATTGGGTATCTCTTTTTTTCTTGTGTCTGGGACTAATATTGCATTTGTCTCCATTTATTATTTATCTTTTGGTGATAAGTTTGTTTGTTTGCTTCAGGACTCTCCAGCCTCTATATTAACATCAGCCAAGAAAAAGATCTCTAATATTGGCATCTTTCTCAAGGTTGGTTGATCTTTACTTTCTTTCTTATTGAAAACTTACAATGTAACCCTCTTATTCCCAAGATTTTAAAAGTGATTTTCCTTACTGTCAGCCTAACATTTATTAGGTTTACATTGGTTTTTAATCAAATGATATTTCCTCATTGATATTTTTCTTACTCTTGCCATCTGTCTGTTTGTCAGTGTATTTATATTGTATGGAGAATTTACTTCTTGGTCACTCCTGGGATTGTAAGGTGTTAGACAGGTATTTGTGGTGGGATTATGTATAACTTGCCTTAATTTTCTCTTTTCCCACAGGATGAGGAAGATGAAGGACAAGATCAGCAAGAAAATGGAGAGGTACATGTACTGCAATTTTTGTAGCTCATGCATTGATATATCATACTATCATTTCCTCTGGAATGGATAGGATTTTTGGCATTATTCTGCCCCTCAACATGGGAACTATGAAGTTGGCTATGGTTCTGGGTATGCTGTGGTTAATCATATTGCAGAACTCTTTAGAAACAACTGTGAGGTTTCAAAGATTCAGAATGTCATATCCTCAGTTGCAAATGGCAGCTTTCTCTCCAGTTATTTTCTTTTGCCTTGTAGTTGTTCATTGCAGTATGAAATTAAATTGCAAAACCTTCAATGACTTGACTATATGTTCCTTCTACTTATTTGCAGGCTGAAGAGGATCTTCTTTTGGGTCGAGAGGGGAAAGGAGCATTACTTGAAAGCAGAACAAGAGTGAGTTGATGATTGTATTTTATCCCTAGAGGGAAAATGAAGACTCTTATTAAGCTGTAACTGTATTTCAGTCATTTATTTTTGCACATGATTGATTTAAACAGTTCAGTTGACTGTACTGTTTCAACCAAATACAACAACAACAACCATCAAAGATACTGGTACTTCATGTGTTGAAAGAGTGCCATCCTTTTTATGGCCTGAAATGTAAATGTAAACTTATTTTTCTCTTTAAGGCAGTTTCAACTTTTGATTGTTTGAAACGGTTTCATTGGTTGTTTAGTATAATTTTAACTAGTTTGAAAATTCTCCACACTAAATCCACTTTGTATCACTAAATATTTTAAACATACAGCCGTAAATTAATTTAAAATTTTTATTATTTCCACGTCAATTAAGAAATTGTGTGATGAATGTTCTAATGTCATGTTTTTTCTGCAGTATTCTGAGCTGAGAACTTCAGGGACCACTGTAAGCTTTTTACAGTGTACTTAAGATAATATTATAATATTATAACTAATAAATGGTCAAAAATGGGAATTAATTTTTAAAAGTGTACAATTAAAGCCATAGTGGCTGGGGGGATGGGTGCTTATTCTGGGAAGGACACTTATCAGAGCGTGGATGCTTGTTAAGTTAAATGCTTGTTAAAATCGTAAATTGTTATAACACTCACTTAGACACGTTTTCTTTATCTTTAACTTGTAATGAGGTGTTTCCAGTATAAGAGTATCTAACAAACTTTAACATAATATGTGATTTTCAAAGAATCAGGCAAATTTTTGGAACTTCATAGTTCTAGGGTGATGTTGATTGCTCATCCCTTAAGACCTTCTTTCATTCAATAATTAAAATGGTTCAATTACTGCCCTTTTCATACCTTATGAATTGCTTTATGTAATTTATTTTTGAGGTGATTAATTTTTTTTTTGCAAGGTTACCAAAAAATTAATTGGAAGAATTACAGAGTGACATTCACCAAGTAAAAGCAAGCTCTGCTTGCATGCTGACAAGTGTTCTGATCATTCAAAGCTTACATGTCACAAAAGCAATTCATGTATGCACCCACTTAACAATCCTAATATTATAAATGAGTCTGAATAGAATTTCATTGTCTAACTTAAAGCAATAAATGTTGAATACTTTAATCAGGATACATGTTAGGTCAAAAGTTTTTTAAAATTTCATACTTTTGTAAATTAACTCTACAAAAACTTATCATAACTTAATTTAAGAACACAAGTGAAATAATATGTGTATCAAAATAATCATTCAGATCTTCTGCATTGACATTTCTTTAACTTTTGATTTCGTCAATAACTTTTTTGGTTTAAATTCTCATAAAGGCATTTAAAGTCACTTGTTTTATGGCCATACTGTACAATTAGACATTCACTGTACAGCTTTACTCTACTTGATCTGTTAAATCTATTTGACTGCTAGTATGTGTATTAATAAAGCAAACTCTTGTTTGCTAAATTATAGTCGTTTCCTGGTTTCAAAATAAATGGCTAAAAATAAATGAGAAGTAAGAAATAGAGGCTTTACTCTCTTGAGCTTCTGCCTTTCACTCACTGGAATCTTTAATCATCACAAAGTTTTGTTAGTTTTGAAAGTGATGTTAGTTTCTTTAAGTGTTACGTATTAGTGATCATTTTTACCGCTTGATTTAGACTGAAATGACAGCAGAGGAAAGACGAAAAAAACATCAACTTGAATTAAAGGAGCAGTTGCACGAAGAAGCAAAGGTAGGGCTGTTGATGATACTTATTGATAATTACTGTTACAGCAAAACCAAATGAACAATCATAACAAAGGTTTACTTGATCATTAGCCAATGAGAACTCAAAGAGAAAACAAGCAGACTACTTGAGGCGCGGGAAAATGCGAATGACCAAGTCACAAATGCTTTAGTTCTGCATGTGGTTGGTCAAGAGGATATTGTGAGTTTTCTTGACCAATCACAGAACAAAGTTAAACAAACTTTCCCGGGTTACTTTTTCGACACTCAATTAACTCTTTACACCCTAAAATCAGTCTATATATTCTCCATACTGCTCTTGATAAATTTCTTAAGGTGCTGGTAAGGAGAATTCGTTTACCAATCAAAAGCTTCTTTCGTGGATGATCATTTCCTTTATTCTCGTGACGTTATTGTATGATTCAGGGGTGTTATTGAAGGGGGTAGTTTGATACTGTTTTCTGAGATAGGCATTTTTTGCTCACGCTCGGGAATAGACGAGTATCAACCTTCTTGAATCCAGTAGCCAGCTCAGAACTTGCCGTCTTAGCCGTCTTGAACCTGATGGAACCTCGCCCATCTTTAATGATGAGGATGAAATGTTTTCCTTTGTTTCCTGAAATAAATGAGTTTGCTGGTTAGGAGAGGGAACACATCTTTTCTTTTAAAACGAGTAGAATATGTGCTACAAGCAGCACATAGCAACTCGACGATAAAATTACAAGGCTGATGGTTTTATAATTCTCGCAGAGACGTCTTCTCGAGTCCAAAGGGGATACAGATACGATTACTAAGTAAGTGCTTTTGAATTCCAGAACATTTTGGTAAAAGCCAGCGATTCTTGTGTTACAAGCTTGTGTCATACTTGTGTTATCTTTGTCAATGACAACTTGTTGTGTTTCTAACCTTGTTGTCTTTTATCATGAGGCAGTGCAGATGAGGGGTTACTTCTGTTTTGTTTTGTCTTAACATTCAATTATTTTCAGGTTGAAACCATCCAATGTAGCCTACAAACATCCTACAATTGTTCCGAGAGATAATGATGTCAGAGAACACAAGATTTTTGTTGGTTAGCAAGTTCTTGTATATATGTACATGTGGCTCTTTCCTTATCAATATCAAGAAACCATTGTTGTTGCAATTTCTCTGAAAAGTTCACCGCGAATTTTCGGAAGGGGCAAATTTTCTCTCGAAATTACGAGACTCACTAACGTTCCCAGTAAATTAATCTGCGAATGTTCAGAAGGATCTGAACAGTATAGTCGCGCCGAAAATTCGCGGAAGTTTCGCGGAAATTTCTTTTCAGGCGATATTTCGTCGGAAATCTGGTGAAAAGCATCGTAATTTGTTTGCATAACCTTTACACAATAATGAACATTTGATTGCTCTTGATTTTGTCGAATAATTTATCGTTTTTTTGAATTTCCAAGGTTTTGAAGTAGTTTTTAGTTCATTTCCGTTCGGAAGAAAACCGTAATTCTAATTCGTTCCGTTTTATGGCATGAATCGGCTAGTGTTATCGAGGGGGGAGGGGGGGAGGGAGGGAGAGTGGGCCAGAGGGTCAGCTTACCCCACCTCCCTCACTGCCATTTAAAAAAGGCACTGCTTGTGTAGCTGTACGCGTAGTTCTTTCTATTTTTAAATTCGGCTCTGTTTTTTTCTCTCTTCAGACAAGAAATACGAGGCAGTTGTTTTACCGCTATTTGGGGTAGCTACACCGTTTCACATATCTACCATCAAGGTAGGTATAAATTCGCTTACCCACTGCGCGTTCGCGTGTTGCCGCCAGAGTCAAACCATTTTAGTTGAGAAGCAAGGGGAAGATGGAGAGATGATAGGTTTTCGTTTCTCTTTGCTATTTTAAATTCTTTCTTCACTTCTCTATGGTATCCTAACTTCCTAATCTTTTGGCTATTTTGTTACAACCGTGGCACAGTTTTGTGCAGTGCTTCTGATACTGCACTTATGTTGTGGTGAGATTTTGTTCAGTCGACCTCAAATAGCGTCCATTCTTGTAATCAATTACATTTTACGACTCATTAGAAATGACATCTTAACAATGAACAATAAAGGATTTGTAGGTTTTAAAACATCATTTTGAACCTCTGAAGCGTTTCAACTGATTGGCATGTAGGGATCGTGAGAGCTCTGTACCAAATCATTTTCCAGGCAAAGTTACCGAATCACGTCCCAGGTAAACTTTGGTCAGACTGTAATTTTTGTTCATATTATTTTTGTATTTTTAGAACATCAGTTCCAGCGATGAGGGCGGTTATACCTACCTTCGAATTAATCTGTTTTGTCCTGGAAGGTAATGAGCCAAGGTTTTAGGAAATTTTATCAGGTGTCTATCAACGAAAATCAAAGTGAATACAATGGCCAATCAGAGTCGTGGATAGTATCACAATGAGCCAATGACACCACGAAGGCAATACCTGTTGATTGACGCAAGTGCGATAAAAGCCGAAGAAGTTGGTTTCAATCTTTGCGTCTGATTGGTTTAGAGGGTGACGCGGGTTGTTTGCTGAACCAATCACGGTGCAGCCTGCCTTGGAGTCGTTATTTGGTCTCGTCAACAGACTGAGCGCAAAACAAAGTTAAGCAAAATCAAAGCCATCCTGCATTACTTTCGAGACTCGATTGTAAATTCCTCTAATTTTATCCTCTTTTTTGGCTGGATTAAAGCTCTTTCCATGAGTTTGACTATGACGAGATTGTATTCTTTTTTTTTTTTTTAGTGCTGTCGGTCGTTCTGAAGGAAGTCTGTTTGCTCAACCCGAGGCTACATTTGTTAAAGAAGTGTAAGTTTTGTGCTTTAAAATTGTAGTGAAAATTAATCGTTGATAATGGTGCACATCTGAGTGTCTTAACTTTCGTGAAAACTAGTTGTTGAAGTTATTTTCGTATTGGTGACTAATTATTAAACCAGAGTAGTATTTGTTTGTGTTTTGTGGTGGTGGCTACAGATGACAGGAGTACCTCCCCAGTGCGTGGTAGCTTTTTATGTGCGTAAATTACACTCTTTCCACGCTGGTGACACCTTTTTTACCTTTTCTTTATCTCCTTTTTGCACACTTTCGATATTGCTTTTCATGGCGTTTTGACGGACACTTTTCGGATGAAAATTCGAGTCATGGCTTACACGTAGCTCTTCAACGAATTCTTTGCACCTCACTTAGAGGTGCATTTGACCGTGAAATCGAAACTTAGTGATTTTCTATTTATAAATCAGATTATCCAACACACAGGACAGATGTTTCTTACATCCTTCGTCACATCCCGAAGTGCGCTCGTAGCAAACATTTGACCCTGCGAAGTGCATGGTCCACTACACAGTTGATTCACGTCTAAAATTGGGGACACTGTGCACAAATCTTTTGAAGATTCTAACCATGGTGTAGTCAATGGTTTTTATGAGGTTTTTTTCTCCTTAACACAGAAATTACCGAAGCTCGAACAGCAGACCTCATGGCGCATCTCAGCCACCGGCGTCCAATCTGAACACAGCGTTTCGTCTGATAAAAGAAGTGCAGAAAAAATTCAAAACACGGGAGGCTGAAGAAAAAGAGAGACAGGTGTGTGCGCTGCTCTTTGTAACCTTACATTATTACTAGGTATCGCTCCTGTTGTTAGATGTGAGATGTTAAATTTACTTTAGAGAAAGTTCCCCAGGAGGTTATTTTCTGTAGTTTGCCTTTGTTTCCCTCGTTGGTTGTTAGAGGACGTGGACCAGTGGTCAGCGAGCGGTATTCTGGATCGAGAGGTCCTGGTATGAGCTCTGGCCAAGGTCTTTGTTGTCTGTTTTTGGGTAAGAATCTTCTCTATCCGAGCCTCTCTCCAACAGTGAGTATAAATGGACGCTGGCACGGTGGAACGCGTAGCCTTTGAAAGACTAATATCTCCCAATATCTATCCTAATATCTAGGAGAAGTTGAAAGACTCTAAGAAGCTCCATGTAATAGAAACTAGGAGATGCTTCGGCGGCTGTGCGAGTCCGTCTCCCATGCTGACTTTGCCTTACCTCGTTGTGAGGCAGCATTGTTGCTGATGATATATTTGTCAATGTGTTACATGAGCGTTTGTTGTCATTATTTTCTCAACAGGGCGTGGTCCAGCAGGGAAACCTTATACTAAACCCTAACAAAGGCAATCCAAAATTGAAAGATTTGTACATAAGACCAAGTATAACTCAAAGAAGATCACCGGTACGTCCATAATGGTTGCTACCTCTTGTCTCTTGGCTAACTTTTGATATTTTTATCGCTTTCGTTTTCCTTTAAAAAATTGATGTGTCATGTTCTCGGAACTTTTGCTTAAACCTTGCGCCATTATTACTTGGTTTTTACCATCAAATATCAAACGACTGTTTACAGGAAACGCTACCACATAATTTATAAATTCCGTTATTTTGGTGACATCAAATAAACCCAGGTTGATTTTATCATGCTTTCATTTATGAAGTAATATATTATCATTTAAGGTTAATATTACTTGAATGTTGTATTTTTTATCCATCCCGTATCACTTTTTGTTGTAAAGTAATGCAATGTATACATTTATAATACCGTAACAATTTGTAGTCATGCAGATGGAGATAATTTTTATTTTCGTTTTTGTCGTCTGTTAGCTCTTTTGTTTACACTTCTGTTTTGTCGTTTTTATGTTCTCAGGGCACTTTAGAAGCGCATACGAACGGTGAGTACGCAGACTATTCATTTATATCTGTACTTGTTGTGTGTGGTGATCTTAACCCGATGTTCGAATCTTAATTTAAAGGTTTTAGGTTTGGAATGTATCGCGGAGAACACGTCGACATTTTGTATGGAAATGTAAAACATGCGTTTTTCCAGGTAAAATTATCGCTTTATTTTCTTGCCCAAATAAAGTTTTGATTGTCATTCGGAGGCGTTAAGTTCTTCTCATGAAACTATTTGTAGCCAAATCGTATAGCGTGTAATTGGAATCTGAACAATCGACGGACTGCAGTACGTAGAATTTAATCTGATACAAGTTTGCGTGGAGAACAATGATTAATGGGTGCATAGCTGAAAATAATTTTATTCGAGCTTTAGGGATTGCTTTATGGGTGAGGTCAATTCATAGTCCGTGTGAACGTTGCATTATACTATCGTCAACCTCCGAGGTACAGTCTGAAAAAGGTTTAGAGGTTATGAAACTATAACATTAGGAATAGTCATAGCCTGCTGTGTAGGCGTCTTATTTAGGGCGAGTTAACGTTATACGATAGTTAATTCGACCTGCCATGTTGGAGTTAGAGCTAGAGTGACCGTCGTCCACCCCTGGGTACAAATTTTTTTCTCTTCCCAGCCTTCCGCTGCTGTAGAAATCAAAGATGGAGTTTCACCAAGAAAATGTTGACTACTCGCTCGCCAAAATTACGCTTACTCTACTGGCTAGAACAGGCACAATTGACCCAGGTTGTTTTAACTAGTTAATCATTACTATTACATCTAAATTTTTTAACTTGCTTTGCAGCCCTGCGATGGAGAAATGATCATTCTACTTCATTTTCACTTAAAGGTTTGTCGCTTTGTTGTTTAACAAGACTTACGGGTTTAAGAAGTTGCTGAGCCCAAACTTTTCTTTGTCTATTGAAAGGCAACCTATATGTTAGTCTGTTTTATTAGTTTATTTATTTATTTATTTATTTGTTAGTTTGTTTGTTTGTTGGTTTCTTTTGAGTTTGTTTGGCTGTGGAATCGTGTCTGGCCCATTCTCTTACTGATTTATTATGAAATGTTCCCGTTTTAATACTGAACAGATAACTACTGTTCGGTGTCGATACAGCCAATGTTAAAATTCATACTTACCCTGTCTTCGGATATGGAAATTCTGACGATGACTCTTTTCTTCTTCAGCATCCTATAATCATTGGCAAAAAGAAATACAGAGACATACAGTTCTACACTGAAGTAAGTGCAAGTAAAATTTCTTACACGATAGTAGGACAGAATTTCTCTTAACAATATCAATACAATATCAAGGAGATAAATAACGACAACAAAGAAAAATATGAATTAGGGGATTATATCCCAATACCCAGTACTAAATTCTCCCAACTGATGTCAGAAGAATTGTATGACAGACAGTAGGGAAAATTGCTAATGAGATCTGGTAAGTAAAAGGGTCAGCTCCTATAGTACCTTTTTTCACCCAAGCCTGTGATTGGGTTTTGGTAAAATGTCACGGAAACCAGAAAGTACTCAAGGAAGGAGGGATGGGGGGTGGGAAATTTTTGATTAAGGAGCTCCAATAGAAGCCATTCACAGTACCTTTGCCCGTCTGGGACTATAAATGGGTTTCAACAAACTATCAGGGGAATTCTGAAATGGGGAGGGCCGGAAGGGGAAACATGAGTTGGAGTGCTATCCCACCCAGGAGGAGGAGTAGTTATTCTATTTATTGCTTCACGCTGCGGAAACCGATAACTTCCCGATGAAGCAATTTTCAATTGAGTGACGAAAGTATCCAGGATTGCCTTGGGTTTGCTTAACTTTGCTCTGTGACTGGTCTAGAAAACTCGAGCTGCCTTCTGAACCAATCAGATTTATAGGTTAAACCATTGACGACTTGGTCTCCCTTTTTCCGCACTTCAATCAGTTTTTTTTCTTTGTTTGTTCTCTGTGTTCTCTTTGGCCTTTTGTGATGTTCTTCGTTACTCTGATTGGCCACAGTGATTACTTTGGTTTTGATCAAATGACAAGTTGAAAAGCGCTCTACCATGCTGTGGCTGGCGTCAAGGTCCTCAGTAATCTGTTTTTCTGGTTTTTAATTTGTCTAATCATATAGCACATGATTTAAACTGCTGCCTAATTTTCACAGGTCGGTGAAATCACAACAGACTTAGGAAAACACCAACACATGCATGACAGGGACGATCTTCAAGCAGAGCAGGTAATGTTGTCGTAACTGTTGTCTTAAATAGAATGAAACAAATTCAACCTCAACGAGCTTAGCGAACTTTTCCTTTCATGAGCTTGTCTCTCAATAAGGTTTATATTTAGGGGTTTTTATGGACTTTCTTAAAACGCTAGAAATTTTCGAAGTACATTGGGTAGTTAAGTCTTTTGTGTTAAATCTGTTCTGCATTCACAGGCCGAAAGAGAGTTAAGGCAAAGGTTAAAATCAGTGTTCAAGAATTTTATTGACAAAGTAGAAGGAATAACTCACGGGCAAGTGGAGTTTGATGTTCCATTCAGAGACCTCGGGTAAGTGGAATGGACAAAGCACAATTGAATTCAACGCCAAGAGTCACTTTTGACACTTTACCAGACATAAAGAGACATTCGTATCAGCTTTTTTGTCCCGTTGTATCGCGTTATCTGTTCTTGTTTTTGTTTTTTTTTTTTTTGTCGTATTTTCCCTTTTTGGGGTAACTATTATTTTATTCTCCAATTTTTTTCCGTGGGTATGACCCAGACTTTTACATTAAAATTTGTTTAAACTACTTCGGTGACGTTTGTTTGTTTTGTCTTTCAGGTTTATGGGTGTACCATCTCGGAGCACAGTATTACTTCAACCCACAACGCATTGTTTAGTTAACATTACCGAGCAGGTACTTTCAAGCAAACTTTAAGTCCTCTGCCTTCCGTCAGCTGTTGATAAGAGCAGTGATTTGGACTGTTTTCGGTCGACCGCTCTATCTTTTGCTTTTCTAAGTCCATAGAATAGTCACAATGTAATTCTTAATCCTGATGTGTGTTTTTTGCTGACCTAAAGACTCGTCGTATCATATCTTCTTCTTTAGCCAACGTTCATTATCACTTTGGATGAAGTAGAACTTGTTCACTTCGAGCGAGTACAGGTAAATCCGTTTAACCAGATATATTGATTAGGGGTCGCCAACGTCTGTCAGAACTGCCCTTTGCTGTCTTCGTAGCATTCAGAGACTTGGTTCTCACCGAATTGGCCCACTCATTTGAAAGCCCCGATCAGTTTTCTCCGCTCGCACACGAAATGTACGCAAAATAATTGGAGATTTTAGCCGGGTATGCAAAAAAGTGCTTTTATTCAAAAATCATACTTCTGCTCTCCAGTCTGCTTGTCGAAAGTGAAGTTGACAATGACGGGAGATTTAAATTTTTTAGTTTACTTTTCCGCTTGTTGATCATTATTTTTTTTCCTTTCTATAGTTTCATCTGAAGAATTTTGACATGGTATTTGTGTTCAAAGACTACAAACGTAAAGTGGAACACGTAAATGCTATACCAATGACGTCACTGGATTCTGTCAAAGACTGGCTGAAGTACGTCACCGTAGTTTTCTTTAATTAACCCTTTACGGTAAAATCAGTATGCATATTCTCTGTATTGTTCTGTATTGTTCTGTATACATTTCTTAAGCACCTTACAAGGAAAATTTGTTCAACAATCAAGAGCTTCTTTACTTTGTGACCATTCTTTTTATTCTCGTGACCTTAATGTGTGATTCAGGGGTGATATTGTGAGGAGAAATTAGATATTAGTCTCTCTTAGGGCTCAAAGGGTTAACATTGAAACGTAAAATTCCGGTTATAGACCCCCCTCCCCTCCCATACTGCTTTCCTTAGCCAATATTTCGACACAGAACTTTGCACGGTATGTTTACTGTCAAACTTAGAAAACCGTTATCGTATTGTAACAAATAAGGACAGAACGATAAGAGTATGCGAGTAAACCACCAAAAAACAAGCTTATTTGAGATACTGCGAAGACTTCGCGTTACTCGCTTAGGATTTGATTGTTTTCTTCGACACAACTACTTTCCACAAATATTCCCGGTCTTCACGGTTTTCTGAGTTTCCCAGTGAGCCGCATCCACTTCGTCCACATGCATGTATTATTTATTTCCACATGCATGTGTTATTTATTGCTAAGAAAACTCCCAGAGTGTGAGTCGCCCTTATAAAATGGATTTCAGAGGAGCGTTGATTAAACTTTGGGTTTCCTTCATCTTTGGTCCTTATTGGTTCTACGTAATTGACCATTCAGTCGTAATCAGACGTTTTATCAAGTGTAGTGTTTTTGTGTATAGACTTTTATCAATTCTTTTATCGCGGAAAACACACCGTTTGATGACAACCTCCTTCCCAGCCTTTCCTTATTCCTACTCTTTGGAGCGAGAGAGAAGGAGAGTCTTTTTCTCACTCCAGGGGTTCAGGAAGAAGATAGTAAGGGAGCGAGATTGGCTTGATTGCCGATCCTTGAAGAAACGTTGCAGCTAAATGCTGTGAAGATAATGCTTCCTCTTGTGCGCTTCGTTTTCTTTGCAGTTCATGTGACATTAAGTACACCGAAGGAATCCAGAGTTTAAACTGGGCAAAGATTATGAAAACCATCAACGATGATCCTGAAGCGTTTATCGACAATGGTGGCTGGAGTTTCTTGGATCCTGACAGCAGTGTAAGTGGTCTACCCCAGTCACTTGGGTTCTTGTTAGATAGCGTACTTTTTCACAGAAATATTTACTGAAAGATTTTTCCAACAATTGTTGTCTTATTGAAATGTAATAGCTCATCGCATTAAGTTTAAATTTGTTTCCTTCTGCCAAACATTGTTGTAAATATATTTATCAGATGTCATCGTTTTGGAAACACATCATGTGTTAGAGAAATCCAGCTTGTGAAGACATATTTATCCCTTAAAGTCACAAGTCTCGAGTACTACTTCCGCTAGATATCCTTTCGATATCTCTCGCGAGCAAAAGTAACCACTCCGCACTGTTTCACTCCCCTGTCGTGGAGGACAAGTGGCAAAGTTGCCGGCTATTTATTGTCCAAACTCCTATGGAAAATACTTAGCGAGGACCCTCGGCTTGAATTGTTCTTAAGTAAGTGCATTTCAACCTCAGGGTGAGGAAGGAGAAGACAGCGAGGAGGAAGCGGAAAGTGAGTACGCTCCGACAGAATCAGAGGAAGAGGAGTCATCGTCACAAGAAGAGTATTCTTCTGAAACAGAGACGAGCGAAGACGGCTCAGGTGAGGACACTGCTCACGGGGGGCGGGGGAGGGGGGAAGGAGTGAAGGCGATCCATGATGTTCGTGAAACCTCTACTGCGGGTACAATTATCTGTTAACAAGTTGGAAGTATTCTGTAAATTTAAATTTGGTCACGAAAATGGAAATTCAGTATGAGGGACGGAAAGATTAAGAAGTAATTTTCAGTTATGTTGCACTTGGAGTATTTTGATTGTGTCCATTTTTTAAGTGTGTGACGTTTCGTGGTGATCATTTGTGGTAAACGTGGAGGCGTCACTTCGTTCTGTTTTTGTTCAGTTCTTGTTCGTTTGTAAATGAGCACTCTTTCGCGCAGGAATCTCGTGTAACTCACACTTTTTTTGTTTGCGTCCACATTTCTAAATAACGCCAAAGAAAGAAAAAAAATAGTTGATTGACTAGTTTTGCCGCAATAGCATCCACCAGATGACCAAGGGCTCTCCAAACGGTACCCTGCTTGTTTTTGTATCCAGTTTTTGGTAAACTATGCTGCTTGTGCTCTTTTGTTTGTAATTAACAAATCTTTTTAACAGCGAAGGGGGAGTTTTCAGAGAACTAGTTAAATATATTGTTCATATGAACTGCAAAAGACAGTTGCTTCTTCAGTATGAGTAAAATTACCCAAAAAAATGTTTTTAAGGGGCTTTGTTGCAATTGATACTTTTGTTGTCTTTTGTTTGTTTGCGTTGTTTTGTTCGTTTTTGTTTGTTTGTTTTTGTCTCAGGGCGCTCACTGTCGTGAAAGTTGGCTGAACAGGGCCTGCGAAATATGTAAAAGTTTTTACCATTCTCATTATCGCTACCTCATCAAAACCCCCCCGGGCGATTAGGTCTTTACCGTGACTTTTGGAAAGCGATTTTGACGTTTTCTTACAATAACTGGACAGCATTAAAGAAACCTCCCCATCCTCTTGTGTTCTGTTATAAAGGGGAAAGCTTTTTAGTCTGTTAGTCTTCTCTTTTATGTTTTTCTATTATCTTGTTGAACTACGGTTACAGGTGAGGGTACGCTAATCGAATTGGCGAATTAACAAATCGACAATCAGCTTGTGATATTACTGTAAATTGTAGTAATAACTGTATATGCTGAGTAATGTTTTTCCTTTTTTCTGAAGAATTCGAAGAAGAGATGGGCAGTGAAGAGGAAAGCGGAAAAGACTGGTCTGAACTTGAAGAAGAAGCGGCCAAAGGTGAGCTCTTGATCTTTCTTTAATGGTCCTTGAGCCGTTTCCTTTGATATTTGCAATATTGTACTTTCCTTGTGCTGCATTGTCACCATGTCACTTCAGCTTTCAAGTTGTTTGTAATTGTCAATACGTTTTCCAGTCGTTTAAAAAATAAATGTTTAGTGTATCAAAGGTTAGGCGTGGGAATAAAGTTTCTGGTAACCTCAGGCAAATATATCATGTGACTTTCTCCTGCGGAGGCAAGACTTCTTTTGACATGTAAAAAAAACTGCACAATGATGGATTTTTCTATATGAAAATTATGCCAGAGAGTGCCCTAATTTTTTTTTTTTTTTTCGCTTTTAAGAGTGACCGGAAAACGTTTCTTTATCACCTTGATGCGTGAATGAGAATTAGGCCTCGCGCACGAAACTCAGCGAGAAAAGGAGATTTGACTGCTTTTTTAAGAGTGGATAACTGTTTTAGAACAAAATAAAGAAAGATATGTGGGGAAAATAATGCGGAGCCCTTTGCTTCGGTTCTTTATGAAAAACTGATAACAGCTGATTCACGCTATTTTGCCTCTTAGACTAGAATTTTCTCTGTGTGTGGTAGCCACAAATATGGAAATAATTAGAAAAAAAATTAACTCAAGGTCAGAGAAAAGTCGAGAATTTTAATTTGAGTGAGAGAAATTAAAAATTTGGCGGCGGAGAAGTCACGGAAAAGTAAAATGTTGAAGTCATAGTTAGACCTTTTTTGTGTGCGGTCTTTGGTTTGGTAAGGGCCGTGGTACAAATTTCAATCTTGTTTGATTTGTTGAAAAGATACGAGCGGTTGCAAGTAAGACGGGATGGTATGTAAGGGTGCTCCTGCATGTTATCTTGTACTTGTCTTTTCTTAAAAATGTATTGTTGTCAGTCCGGTAATAGCCTTGGAATTTTGACAACTGCAGCCATGCTAAGGAACCTGCGACATGTTTCTGTTCTCCAAAGTGACGCAGTAACATGAAACAGTGGTAAAATGAACCAGCGCCAAAGTCCGCCGTTCTGATTTGTTTTCATTTATGTTCCTCAGCCGACCGTGATAGGGGCCAAGAAGAAACTCCATCAAAGAAGAGGAAAAAACCTAGTAGCAAACACGAATCTCCACGCAAGAAAAAACGGAAGAGTTAAACATTCCAATGTTGAGTAAATTTAAACAAGAGTTTGTTAGAAACGGGACATCATTTGCTGTCTTTCCAACGTTATAACTGAAGATGTCGTCTGCCGAAAGCTGCGGTAGGAAAGGAGAGCGAACTCGTGCGAACATTATTGTTTACAGTGGCTGGTGAATGCGCGACATTATGCATTCTGGTATTATTATGGATAGCACTTAGGCCGTTTTTAGTAGTTCAACTGACTGGCTAGAATCAGTTACAACTCTCCCGTTAGACAAGTTCATGTTTGGAGGGATTTTTACTTTCGAGTAAAATTTCACGTTTCCATAAGAAGCCTGTTCATTTTTGTATTGACTGGTTTGGCCCACTAGTTGCAAGTAATGGTGAGCCCTTTAGTTTCCAGCGGTAACGTAATGCTTCAAATAAGACTGGCGCTAGGAACATGCCCAGTCTTTCGTTTTTCGTTAGTCGCCTATATTCTACATCTTTTAGGTTTCTGTGAATACTTGTAAAGTTAAAAAAAATGTGTTCCGCCTAACGGTTTGACGTCTGTACTTTGAATGTTGCTCGAGAATTTCTCCGTTACATGTACATGTATCTGTCCAAGGTCTGATAGAAGCAATAGGTTAATAGGTGCCTTTGGTGACCGCACACTTTACAGCCTTATATCTGAGGCCGAGCAGTTAATTGTTGTTATTCCTGTCCGAACTTCGACAGAAATCATACGTTTGGCTTTGATACGAAAGCTTCTTTACCTAGTTACCAACACATTACTCTATATTTGTCCAATCACAGTTGAGATGCATTACTTTGATTGACATTGACTGAGTTCAAGATGGCAATTCCGGGTGAGGGTTTGCAAAGTTATTCTATTATTGATAAACCTGAAATCCTAGATACTTTGATTAGTTTCTATAAACGAAAATACCACCTGATATCGCAAAAATAAAGAAAAATTATGGTATAGTTGTAAAAACAAGGAGTTCAAGGACTGGGATCAATATCAGTATCTGGGCAACTGCCCACCTACCCCTCCCCTAACCCAACATTAACCTCAACTTGTCAATTGACTGTTGTTGAGTTAGGGGAGGGGTGGGTGGGCAGTTGCCCAGATACTGATATTGATCCAAGGACTGTATATGCACATGTGTAAATTTCCCACAAACGTAGGCAGGTTGTGAAGAGAAAAACAGTTTGATTTCAAACTGTCTGAAATAAAGTTCAATTATGTGTTGAAGATTGTATTTTATATCGACTTCTGCAGAGCTTCATCCGACAGGTATCATTTTATAGTAAACTTTACCTTTGGTAAATTTGTCGTGTCATTTTAGCTCGAGTTAAGTGAAAATTAAATCATATGTCATTTTAATTTGGAATCGTGTCTATTTTAAACTCAGGCAATAATTTTTTTTCTTAAACATAATTCGTTGCATCGTCACGATAATATGTGTCATAACAGCGCCTTGATGGGATTTTTTATCTCTTTAGTGATCCATCGATGAAACTTTTTTGAGTCGAAATGGAAGACTCACTTAAATTTTCTCTTTATTAAAATCATGTCTGTAAGGGCCACTTCAATTGTTTAAAGAGGTTTTTGTTTGCGCTTGCATGTAAAGATATTTAAAGAGTTTTTATCAAAAACATCCAACGGTCCCATATATCCTGACACGTCACTAAGTTAGATTAATTACGTCTGTTTAAGGGTTGGTTGAAAACGGAACCGATGAACCGGAACTAGAAGGATGGCTCGTCATTCGCGATTATCTGTTTCCTCCTATTTTTGTGGTTTTTTGTGTTTGGTTGGGTTGCTTGATATGGTTTTTCAGTCTTCCTGTCAAAGTTGATTGTATTTCTTTGTAGCCATAGCGATAGAACGCATAAAAAACTCGTACGATATAATAAATTATCTGTAATCACCAATATAGCAGCAAAGCCACAATGACTTGTCATTTTAAGACGAGTAATGCGCCGATAATAGCAACAGCCGGAAACTTTAACACGCAAAAGGAAAACTGTCCGTAGCATTTGACGAAGAAAGTGAACGCCTCTGGTACTGAATTGAATGAGAAAATGCCTCACCATCACCAAAGGAAAATCGAAAACTATTCAAAGATGGCTGAGCCAACGCGTGCAGTTGACGACATGTTACAGTCTGAGCCTACGCCTGATTGGCGTAAAGGAAGGAAACATTGGGGAATAGCATGGGAGTTACACTGGATTGGATTTGGTCTTGCATTCAGTATCTTGGCAGTTTTTTCTCTCTTTTCCTTGATCCAAGCCAGAAAGAAAAGAGGATTTGGACGAAAGCCCTTCGTGATCGCTGTGAACTCCTTGTTGTTGTTTTTCGGTGTCACCCGGGCTTCTTACCTTTTGATAGATCCCTATGGATCACAGCAGAATGGTATCGAGGTTCCATTATGGTTTTTACAATTCCTTTTTAACATCGCTTTCCCTTGCCTGACCTCGGCTTTCAGTTTGATCTTTTTGGCTTTTCTTGAAGTTTCAAAATTGCAGTTGGTGCCGAACAAGTTACAGAATATTTACTTACTCGGTTCAATCATAACGTTTCACTTTGCCTTAGTCCTTGCTGGAGATATTGCCTCGGCAGTGGACGCCGATATTATCATTTTATTACTCATTTGCCAAGTTTTTATTATTGTTTGGGGATTTCTTCTTTCCGCCAGCTTTATCTACAGTGGGTTCAAAGTTATACATCAAGTGAGAAATGTCGAGAAACGCCTGCAACTACAGAACAGAGCGAATACATCCAAAGTTGCAAAAGTCACAATTGGTACAAGCATCTTAGGAATCGCGAGCAGCATTTTACAATTATATTCGCTGGTCAGTGTTTACAAATTCTATGCTAAGATTCAGGAGCCTGATGCGTGGATGTGGTGGACGTTTCAAACCTGTGCTCGCCTTGTTGAAATTGCCATGGCCTGCACACTCACATACAGTGTAAGAAGACCTTCCGAAAATAAACGCTCCGCCAGTGTCAGAAGAAAACTTACAGTGACAGAAACAGTGTGACGAGATAGAAAAGGAATGGTAAGGACGCCAGAACTCTTTGAGAAGCAAGCTTACATGTAATCCACAAGATGTGGGATTTATTTGGAAAGATTTACGTTTTCCAAGGAAAGCTCAAAGTGAATTAAAAGTCGTACCGAAGGAAACTGAAGTGCGCTAGTGCTTTTCCGAAGATAAATTGTTCCCACGGATCTACCGAACCGTAAAAAGAGAGAGCGGAAATATATTTACCTCATTCGCCCGGCAAAGCTGACATCGGCCAAAGCGGTACCTTGTCAAACTCTCCAATTACCTCAGTTTGTCCTTTACCCGAACTAAATCAAAAACACAACATCTGTGTACTCTATGATAGCACAAACAACTATAGACTATGGAAGCTGAATGTAGAAAATTTATTCGCTACTGACAAAATGGCGGCGGGTCGCTAATTCAAAAAAATTAGGTGGAGAAGGCAGAGAGCTAGTTTTCTACAAATGGCAGGATCTGTTCTCTTTTTCTCTATTTTGTCTTTAATTTTGCTTCATTTTTTTCCTTTTTTTTATTATTTTTATCTTTTTTTTTAATGTGGTTTTCATGTTACATAACTCTTGTTGCGGTGTCACGTGCAGGGTGCCAGGATGCCGCGAAACGAATATATTTAATAACTGTATTTTTCCGGAAATGTATCTTCCCCGCCCGCTCTTTTGTTATACTTGTTAAGACAAACAGAATTAGAGTAGACGGCAAAGGAAATCTTTTGTTTCCGAGAGAGCTATTGAATTTATAGAGTCAATATGCTAACACATCTGTAGCAACGAATATTACTTTTCATTGGTTTGATATTTAGGGTTTTTTTGATGGGAGGGAAAATAGAAGACGTGTCTCGCTTGCATAACCAGAATTACACGTGAAGACACGCGTGCGATTATAAACTGAACCCTTTTACGCCCTAAAATCAGTATGCATATTCTCCATACTGTTTCCAATACATTGCCTGAGGCACTGAAGAGGAGAATTTGTTAAAAAATCTAAAGCTTCTCCAGGGGTGAAAGGGTCACGGAGAGATGCTTCTCCTGATTTGGCAAACTTTCTGTCAACTCGATCGGGAACGAAAAAATATTGGTTCTGTTAGAAAATCATTGGGAGGCAATAGTGTGGCAAGAAGGAAAAAACATGGCTAGGAATGGGATGTAAATGATTAAAACTGTGAAGTTACCATTCCTTTAATGATGTTATGAAAATTATAGTAATAGGATCGGATCGTAAAATAAGAAGTCGAATTAGGTAAAGACTTCAAAAGAGGCACATAAATCTAAAGGTAATGTTATGATGGTGTTTATTAAAACGACTGAAATTTAAAAGACTCTGAGCTGTTTCAAGTGGGTTGCTTCGACAAAAAATAGTTTATTCGTTGAACGCCGCGGGCGATCTAAGTGTGACACTTTCTATAAATATTGTTATTCTTTAAGTCTGGGAAGCCGGCATGCAATGCAATTTGAGAAAAGAATTAGTTGCGACGAAGCTCTGTTGGCTATAGTAATATGGTCTTTTTCTCTATTTCCCCATTTGCTAAGCAATGAAAATGCGTGTTTTTAGGTGACTCGCGTTCGTTTCGGTCTCTTAGTTTCACCTTTTCAGTCTCACGCTACGTCATTGCATTGTGAAGCTTAAAAGCTGAAAATAAATCGCTAGATCAATGAGGTAAATATCAAAGAAGAAACCAAAAATAATAAGGATGCCATCTTTGGTATTTACCTTGGCAAGGTACAAGAGTCTTAACATGGATTTCAGACGGCGAACTTAAATAAATTTTGGCTGAATGTTTCACCTGTTTTTACCTTTTCTTGAGAGGGATAGTCTGAAAGAATCTTTGGCCGTGGCGAAGAAGAACAGAATTAGCCTAAAAATGCTAGGATTATTCGAGATCTCCGCCAAAAAAAATTGTTCCATACACTTTCGAGGATTGAGAAAGTTATAGACTTGTGATAATCATGGATTAGTAGAGTACGTTTGGTCAAGCTTAGGAATGAATAGATTTGACTGAGCGTAAACAAAATCAAAAGTTAAATTGCAATTTTTCTACGTGTCTTCCCATGACGTCCAGACCGAAGCGGGCCAACCCGCGGGACCACACTCGCCGGCGAAGTTCAAAGGTTTCGCATGAAATCGAGGCGAGTGGTCAGCCATTCCAGGATGGCGCCCAAACTTTGAGATCAAATAGCATCCAGAAAGAATTGACACGATCGATATGCGTCGTCTCAACGTTGAATGCAACTGAGGGATATGTCCTCGATTACACGTACACTAAGTGTCCAGGAAGAGCCAATAAACAAATGCACAATTGTCAATTGAGAGAACTTTTTATCAGAACTTGAAAGTGCTTAGAGACGATGAATTTGAACAAATCAGATCTAAATTTTTTAAGACCGTCAATTCTTCTCCCTCCCCTCCCCCCTATGTCATTTCCCCCGCCCCACTTATGTGGGTGAGTGGGTTCATACAACTTTCTCATTGCACAGAACGCATAGAGGAAAGTCTTTTCAATGACTACTGATTCGCATGCCTAACTTTTAACGATAACGTGTAGGTAGATAAATTAGAATCCGTCGACACCGCGCCACTTTATAAGGATATCATTTACTTGTGATGCTTTTCAATTCTAAACTCATGGGTGGCATCGGCATTGTGAGTCAGTGTTTTCAGCTGTCTCTTTTGCAAGGCTGTGACAGCTATCAAAGTAAAAATGATTATTTCAATTAGAGTGACCCTTTCTATTTCATACATTTTTCCACCAAAGACTATTCTCAAAATGGCTTTTTTGTGTGTATTCAGGATCAGTTACCTGGTATGGTTTTGGACAATACGCAATTAGCATAGATAATGTCATTTTCTCTGATTTGATTGAGTCATATCCTGGTCAGTCTATATCACTTAAGTCTGTCAAGAATAATTTGATTTTGCCTCAGTAAGAAGCTTCCTTGATTTAAAAGGGCACAAAGGAGTCCAATTTATAATTTCTAGTTGTGTTCGGCCTTTGATTACTGTTATTTATCATTCCTGTTTTTCTTTTTCAATTCTTCAGTTTTCCTTATCTTTTCACTCACCAATTATTACTGGTAATGAAATTTCTTGGATGGGGCTTATGTTATTAGACATAGATATAACTCGAGATTTGACGACTAAAAGCTATTCTGAATCTTCTAAAACATTTTCAGAAACAATTTACGAACAAAAAAAATATTTGTGACCGACCCTTCATCAATTTCCTAATTTTAAGGATATTTTTCATTTTAGATAGGTAATAATTTCAACTTATCTATTTAAATTAGTTTTTTTTTAATTCATCAATTTGAAACGGAAGTTTGAAGTGTCGCAGGCAGGCAAAATTTTTTTGGCTTAAGGTCAATCATAGCTTTAACTCTCATTTTCTCCTCAAGAGTCTTAGCTTTCCTATAATTAACCTGTGTCATTGTAATTCATTAGTCGACCGATAATTCTTAGCCGATCTTCCTTTGACGACAATTTTCAATGGCTTCAAGCCATTGGAAATTATTCAAACCGCGTCCTAAATTTTTTGTATAATGACCAAATTTCCATTAGGGGTATTAATTTAAGAAGCAGGTGGGAAATATCAATTACGACAAAGTCATTTCGCAGCTTGCAGTTAGTCGTTACTCAAGGTTTGCCTATTTACAAAAGGTTTTGAAACCGGTTGGAAATTATATGCGATATTTACTTAGAAACAAAACTGTGCAAACTAGCTTTTGACAGTTTTTGTTCCTCATTTCTTTTTAGCATTTGGTTTTGCGTGGGCAAGTCCATCATGGAAAAAGCATATTTTCAACTCAAAGCAAAGCAGTTTTGTCGTTAATTGTATGGCTTGGCGGTGACTAACCAGATTAATTGGAATTATCTTCGAACAGACCACTCCAAGTCTCCTTAATCTGCATCTTTCAGTGCCAATATCGGTAAGAAGTGGGTGATTCGGTTAAAACTGCACCTTGCATTTGATTTTAAGCTGTATTCAAAGTATTAATTTTATTTATTTTATCGCCTTCAAGACTGCTATGGCCCTGGAAAATACTTTTGCGGTATTCTGAACTAAAGGATGAGCGAATACAAAGTGGCTTTTTGAAAGATTCTGGGCGACTGTGCCTGCTCAGGACTGCACAAGAGGTCAGCACAAAGGGCTGGATACGGTTTTCCTCCGTGAAGACTGGCGTGTCCAAATTCAATCCGTGTTTAGTGTCTTTGTGTCGATTTTGTTTCTGCGTCTTAAGAAAGCTGGTTTATATTGACGGCCACAGCTCTCAAAGGTTCCTCGATCGACTTCAAGAAGTCTGGCACATTAAGACATAAGTCGCTAATTTATTAGACTAAAGTGGTTCAAGAAGGTATCTGCAACATCGAGTTAAGTCCATGACGTGTCAAGCGTTTGTTACTAATATTAGCTTATCTCCAAGGCAACAAACAAAATAGTAAAATACTGTCTTTGCGAATTCGTATAACATTTACACAGCTTTGGGTAATAAGCATTTCTAGGAGAGTAAAGTGGATTTTAAGACTGCGCTTATTTATCTTATTCATTTATCTCTAAGTCTCTCAATCGTAAGCGTACTAGTTCAGTACAGTTTCTTTTAATTATGCCTAATCCTCCGTCGACCAAGAGCACAACATCCTCACAGGCCACTGCCGAACCACATGCTGACCCTCATCCTGAGCCAGGCCCTGACTGGGAAGTAGCAACACAGATTTGGGGAGTAGCTTGGCAGGTGCACTGGGCTGGATTCGGTATCATTTTCAGCATGTTAGCTCTGCGCTCCTTTATCGCCCTAGCGCAAGTCAGAAAGAGGGAAGGATTTGGTAGAAAGCCTTTGGTCGTCGCTGTCAATGTATTGGTTCTGACACAAGGAGTGACACGAGCCTTTTTTTTGTTTTTGGATCCTTACGAGTCAAGGACAAATGGTTTAAAGGTCCCACCTTGGCTGACGAATTTATTGTACGGTATCACATTTCCCTGTTTGACTTCCTCCTTCTGCCTTATACACTTGGCATTTATTGAAGTCTCTAAGGTCCAAATAGGATCCAAAAAACTTCAAAGTGTGTCCTTCTTAAGCGTAGTTATCGCAATTCACTTTGCGATCGTCGTAACGGCAGAAACAGTAACCGCTATGAAAGCCGAGCTTACACCATTGATTATTGTATGCCAGTCGCTATTCATTCTTTGGGGCTTCCTCCTCTCGACAAGCTTTATTTACAGCGGATTAAAAGTAATTCAACACGATCTTACCGTTCAGAGAGAACTCCAAATGGTCCAGATCGAAACGGCTGATAGGGTGGGTCGACCAAGACAAGCAACAGGAACTATTAAAGTTGCAAAGATCACCCTGGCAACAAGTATTTTAGGATTTGCATGCTGTGGACTGCAGCTATATTCCCTCTTTGGCGTGTACAGCTTATATAGCAAAGTTGTAAACCCAGCTCCCTGGCCGTGGTGGACATATCAAACGTGTTTTAGACTTGTGGAATTCTTCATGGCTTGTACCATAGCCTACAGTGTTATGCAACGTTCCTCAGTAAGAGAAATAAGCAAAACCAACAATCACAGCAACGACATCAGCAAAGATATAATCAAGCCTGGGAACTGTTAAGCTTGCTCGCGCTGCAACTTATTACCCGTCAGGCGAGTAGGCTGCAAAGAGAACAAGAAACTTAGGGAGAAGTCACCATCTGCACACACAGTCTGTACTGAACTTTCTGTGACAGCGTTTCGGACGATATGTTATCCTTGTGGAAAACCCAGCAGTGACTATGGTTTTCAGATAAGTGTGTTGATCAGCGCTTTTCAAATGAGAAAATTAACAAGCCTTTCAAATTTGCTGTCAAATCAGTTACATAAGGACCGGTTTGACATGGTAGCTTTGCATCATTCGAACTATCACATCTGAGCTAACTGAATAATAACACAGCCAGGAATATCTACATTGGTCGAAATTGGTTAGGGTTTGGTAATCAATTTGCACTTCCTCCAAATAAATTATGACATTGTCAGAAAAGACTTTGAAGCGAACGGGTAAATGTGAGGGGGAACCCGTCAAGAACACGTGGAGATAGTAGAGCGCAAACTCATAATAGCGAGAGACCTCCAGATATCGAGAAAGCTCTTGGATTTGCAAAATAGTTAATTTCAAATGGAACTCTTAAGGAACATTAAAACAATAGATATCTCATTATGCTGCATGAATTAAATGTAAGTAAGAAGACATTAGATTTGAAATACGAGCGACGCAAATTTAGTGAACAATCTCTCTTATCTTTTGAGCTAAACTCAAACGGCGTGAAGTAGATGGGTTAAATTTTTATTTTTAATGCTAAGATAATGAATTAATGTTCATTAAGAAGGCATGTCAAATAATTGATTTTCAGAAAAATCCATTAGACGGGCCTTTCATATCTTGTATTGAGTTTCACTTACACTTTCATGCATGTTTACTTTTCTCAAGTTTTCCGGTTGGAAATGGAAACCTGAGTTTAGCGTGCGCACACCAACGTGATTTTCATTTAGCTAAATACTGAATAAAGTTTATTGCCTGTCAATCTTTTGAAGTATGTCTCATAGTCATGGAGACTTTTCCCAGTCGGCGTTTTCAAAAATTCCTCTTTAACTCTCGTCCCCTTTAAGCAAATGACAATCCATCTATTTTGTAACATAAAGGCAAATAATTTTAGAGATATATTCGGTTGCTACGCAATGTATCCACCAAATGAATGATGGCCCTTTTGAAAGAGAAGATCAGCCTAAGAGAGATCGAATGAGCAACCTGGTCACCAGTCTCTCTTCATCCCATCCTCGCGAGAGTCAGGGAACGAGGTTGCTTAATGGTTATTTTCGAATTGTAATGTTTCATTTGGCGTTTGGAGTAATCTGAATTTTAAAGAAACTGCATCAAATTTAATTTTAAATTTTAAGAAACCGCATGCGTTTCTAATTTTTACAATAACGCTGTCCACCTTTCTCCTTAGCCGTGGTTAGCGTTCCAGTCGATACAACGAAAAAGTCACAGGGAATGCAGCAATCTTTGTTAAAGTGCCATCGCGCATTTAAACAGGTTATCAGTTAAACAAATGGAGCTGACATGAGCTAGAATATAAAAGAGGGAACCTTCGACTAACCCGCTAAGTGATATACCAGGTCAACCCATCTTTATTGGTAAATATTGTAGTTTGATTTGATATAAGTAGTATACACCGGCAGTATGGAGGAGAGCCAATTAGGGCGTGACCTAAAGGTCACATGATAAAGAGGGGGACGTGCGTCTTTTCTCGTTTTTAGGGTATGTCTCTTCCCTAGGCCACACCCCATAACCACACCCCCTCTTTATCGCGTGACCTTCAGGCCACGCCCTCATTGGCTCTCCTCCATACTGCCGGGGCACACTACTGATATATATGAACTGAGATGACTTGAGATGACGTAATCTGGCGATCGTGGTATTGTAACCCATCTTATCTATCCAGGATCACAGTTATTCCCCAAGAGAATATTCTTGAGGTTATCTGCCATGAAGAGAACGATATATCTGAGTCGCGTGTTGATTATACAGTGAATATGCAGTTGATACAAATGGTCCTGGGAAATGTTGTCGTAGCAACAAGGTGTAGTGCAAAGATATGACACTTTTGCAATCGTAAAAAAATAAAGTTGCTGCCGCAGAATGTACACAAAGATGACAGCAATAACGATGCCAGCTTCCTTCTATAAACAAATTATTTAATGAAAAAAGCAGACTATAAGCCACGACAGCTGCTATAGATAACAATATCGGTTTTATTGGGCCTCTGTCATGGGTATGGAATATCTAAGAACATGGCTTCGGGCTCCCGCGCGCGTAGACATAGAAGGACGTTAATTCGAAAGATACTAGTACAAACCCCGTGAGGTGTGGCTGAAGATAGAAAGATTCAAACGGTTACTGGCTATTTTTAGCACATAATCATCTTGCAAGTCATACTTAGAGAAAGACGGACACTTCTAGTAGATTTCTTTTGACAATCAAATTAATAAAATTTACTCCATAGGGGAAACGATCAATCATAAGAACAGAGTATTATTACGTTTATTCGTCCCCTATAAACGAATAAACGTAAAATTATTTTGGCAGGGTTAGCATAACATGATAGCAAAATGTTGAGATTAACGAAGTTGTGAATAAAGGAATTGACCAAGCCTGCATTTGCGATCCGAAAAGGTGCATGGTTATAACGAAAAATCTTATTTTCATTCATGGTCATTCTCATGCAAATCAACTAGATTTTTTTGGAAAGCTTTTCCATTAAGAAACTGAGTGAATGATCCTGAAATGGCCCATTGAGAGATGGTCCAACTTGTTAATAGCAAAGCATTTTTATACCGGTCTACACGGAAACCTTTTCAACCTTTTCATCTTTTCTTTCAGTCATTGAAATTAAGCTATTTACCTGGGAAATATATAAAGTCTTTTTCTTCACATCCAAGTGTTGCTGAATTCAAAACCTAATTTACTATCAACCTTTTCAAAATAAAGGTATTTTGGACCTCTTGTCGAAAAACTAACAATGATCAGCATAGCACGCTGGGCTACAAGCTGTAATTATTCTTCGTAAACCAATTCTTTTGGACACCTTAATGGAAACCTGCTGCTAACAAACAAAGCCATTATCATCATTGAATGCCAGTCATGGAGTCTATTATTATTCAAATAAAAATAAAAATTCTGTAAAAGGAAGCCTTGTCTAAGTAACTAGGAGTCTCTCACGAAAGCTTTTGTTAAGTTCCAGCGAGGAGCGAACTTGGTGGTGAGTTACTTTAGTTTCTTTCCTCTTTTGTGCAAGAAAATAACTTACCCAAAATGTTTTAGAATGAGAATAGAACATCTCGTTAATCTTGGTGATACAACAACGATCAGGTAAGGTAATTTTCTCTGGTTTATTTTGCCTTACTGGCGAGTGGAGCAAATAGCTATATGGGGCGGTTATTTACACGAAGACTAACCTAAACCATGGTTTTATGCAATCATTGGGCCCCCGGCTTTCTCTTTAAGAAGGTTTATTTCATTAAATAAATGTCCTTCCACTGTTGGCTTTTGGCTCTTGACGCTGTTCCCAAAAACAAATATTCAGATTTAAGGTTCAGCTTATTCGAGGATTCTCTAGGACGCGATTTTGTCAAAAAACAGCCAAACTTTGTTTAAATAATCAGACCTATGACTCTACTTATTAATGTATTGGAGAGTTCCACAAAATAGAGCACCATAAGGTTTAATAAATAATATTTTTAGAACCTTGCAAGGTAAACTGTAATCAGATTTTGACGGCTTTGAAGTGCCGCGCCTAGTATGAAAGATACAAAGAACGATTATTCTGTGGGCTTGTTACAGTTATGAAAGCAAGCGTTTTAATTTGTCAGGTGCATGTTTCATTTTCCGTGAGGTTAGCCGAAGGGTGAATTTATCACGCCTTCTTTTGATAAACAATTATCTTTCTTCGCGTGATCACTGCTGGTGGTCGATGATTCACACGTTGGAACCTAATGAGTTGTTTTGGACCAAATAATTCAGCATAAAACACATGAAAAATCATGTGCAGTTTTCTCTCCTCCATCTCAATGTGTTACAGAGGATCACTGTGAACATTGGTCCGTTCATATGTTTGGGCAAAGCCTGCTTAAGTTTACTTAGTAAATTTAAATTCGTGCAAGCAGTATAACTTATGCATTTTGGCTTCTGCTCAGTTACTTAAATGTAGACTGAATTTTATCCCTTTCGTTGATCGTATTTGAGATCACGAGCGGCAAGATTTCCATCTATAGTCCTATATTTCATTATTCAAGCGGTTCCTAGATAAAGATAACAAAGGCGAAAACAAAAGATTGCCGTTGGGACAGCAGCTATGTTCTACAAGAGCATGGGGTTGTGCAGAAATCTTAACCAAGTACCTCACGATAAGGAGGCTACACTACTACACCGAATTATTGGGGCGGTTTGGTGTATATTGTTAGCAGTAAATCTTCCATGATGCTTCAAGGAACGGCGTTCATATTTGAAGAAGAATTCGTCACTGTTACTCAGTTAACAATCACAAATCTGTCGGGATATTCCAAAATCACAACGTATAGCTGATTATAGAAAGAAAATAGATAAAGTATCAAATCTAGTGAAGACAAGACATAGAGTGGCAGTCCCAAGAATGATACGATCATCAAATTACATAGAGCAAAGATTCAAAAGAGTATGAATAACTGCATATACCGCTGTAACCTACCATAATATCTGCAATACCTCAAGCCACCTTTGAAATACATTGGTTTCAAATTTCAGATTATCATTACACGTATTAAGGAAGGAGGACCCGGATAATTGCCATGTTTAGCATAATTAAAGAGACTTTCTTGATGAGGCTCTATAAGCAAACTGAATTATTCATATTACCATAATGTTTCCTTGCTCCCCTTTTGGAGAACAGTGCCTCTCCCTTCCACTCTCCTGACTGCTCTATCTTCTGCCGCCATGGCTGCCTCAGTTCAAGTTCTCAGCCTCCACTCTCAAGGCTCTCCTTT